AAAAAAAAAAAAAAAAAAAAAAAAAAAAAGAGGAACGAGCTGATGCTGGAGTGCTAAAGGGCAAAATTTTCGTTTCTTGTACGCCTTATTCATGGCCATCTTTAAATGCAGGGTTATTGAGCATTCAGTAAGCCCCCGTTTGACACCCTTTTTTATCTCATTCTCATTCTCATTTTTCTACAGTACTCATTTCTAACCACACATTCTTCAAATAAAATAATATTACACATAAATCCAAAAATTCTTCTTACTTTTTAACCACACATTATTTACATCAATCACTATTCAAAAACTCATTTTTCAAAAGAATGGGTATCAAACAAGCCCTAAGGTGCATCCTTGTAAACTCTCTTTAATTTCATGCAATCAAACCCCTCAACTTTAATTTGCTATGGAGTGTCCAGTTTTACAAGCTCATCAAAACTGGATGACTTGCTTGTATCAAATTTACCAACTGAAGATTGACCAACGGCTCTATTTTTGAATTTACAGATGGTTAACACCTATTTCTATATAATCAGCATATACCTTGCTCATTCCACATCTCACTTTAAGAAAACAATAACCAGCTGACAAAAAATACTGATTCCATGTCAACAAATAGCTTCGGTTTTCAAGTCACGAAAAGAATCCATCAAGAAGAAAAGAGACATCAAGGTTTGTGCTGTCATCGTTCTGGCCGGAAAATCGTAATGACGTGCAGGAGGTGATCCAAATGTACAAAACTGCGATGGGAAAAGGAAACGGATGATCGTCAAAGAATGTTTGTTTTGTAACAAAAATCGTTGAGAATGATTCTTTTCAGTCCAACAAGACGATTTTCAACCAGGTCTACACAGCCAATTCCACGTCTCCCACCGACCTCGTTTAGTTCAGAGAGAAGAGATGCGGGGGAAAGCTCCTTTCCATTTAGTGAAACCGGGAGTCCGTCAACTATCCCACGCCCATTATTTGTAATACGAAATTAACATAAAAGCATATGTGCGTAGAAGCAACTCACTCCGGTTGATTGGGTGCATCTTTTGGGTCGACTGTCATCATGTACATGTCCTCCTTTGGCTCATTTGCTGGGTCCTCCAATATATCTCCCTTCAAGGAAAGTGATAACAATCATGAAACTTGTACTATTATCTTTTCAATTTGATTATTTGGCTTTCTATGTTCTTAGTTCTTTGTTCATTTTTAATCTCTATGCAGGGTAGAAGTATTTGCTGACACTGTGAACATCACGGTGTCTGCGAGTTCGAGAGTGCATGAATTTTTTGAAAGTTACCAGTTCAACACTAAAATCACCTAATAGACAAATAACGCGGAATTAAATTTATTAATTAAAAGCAATAAGTCACTTTTTAATTGTGGCGCAATATTAAATAAAGTAGTAAATAACACAAGATTTGATAACGGAGAAAACCCTTAACTGGGTAAAAGCTCCGGGACCAAGTTTGTAGTTTCCACTATATACAATAAGAACTTACAATATGATATAGCATAGAAAACCCACCAGACTTGCTGATTTAATTCCTGCAATCTTCGGGACTCGCTAGAACGTGTTTCACTCACACCTTCTCCCGATCTTCTAGAATTATCTATCTCTTGTGGAACACCAAGAATGCCTCGTTCTTGTACTTTATATCACAATCAAAACGAAATACATGAAATGAAAAACTCTTGAATAACGCAAATTAGGGTTTCGAAGAAAACACCGTTGTTCGAGCGTCAGGCGAGCGAGAGGTGTGTCGCTTGAGTGAGAGCTGGATGACAAGCGGGCGACAATGAATCTGCTTCGGACGCTCTAGCATCAGCTAAGAGACAGGCTAGCGTAAATCCGACGACTTTTTTCTTCTCGTTCCATACTCGAACTCAAAGACTTCTAATTCATCTATACAACCATCCAAAAGACTCATTGACTTTTACAACTCTTTTGTAACAATCATATTCTTTTACAATAATCATTTTGTCTAAAGAATTGCCAATACAACGAAAAACCTAACATTTTTTACCATCCCGTAAGCCATGGCTTGTCAGTGTTTCCGGATTGGCATGCGTCAAAAACTTCTGTTGGCTGAGATGCTGGATCTTGGGGTGATTAGAATCACAATGGCCGTCCTTGCTGCCCAGGCAATTTGTTACAATGCTCGCTTTGTTTGTTTATGTAATCTTCATACTTTTTGTTACACAAAGAAACCTCGGACGCATAATTTGTGTTAATGGGGTGCGTCATTTGAGGATAATTCTGATTTTGGACAACAAAACGGAATTAGAATTAACATTCAATGCAATAAAATCTTCCTTTGATTATATGCAAAATGATAATATTGCAAAGAAAATTAAGAAAAGAAAATAACATACTGACATCATTAAAGTTCAGTGTTCTGCTCTTCTAATGGAAGAGAGAGACAATTGAATGTTTAAGAGAGATAAAAGATTGAAAAAGAGTATTCAGGTGGTAAAGGGAATATGATAATGACGTGACTGAGGAATTCGTATTAGTTTGTTGCACCCACCTAAACTAATTTTTGAATAAATAGAATCCAAAGCTGGGGGAAGGGGGAGTTGGTGCTCAACATCGCGCTCGAATTGTGTGCTAATTCGATCATAGACCAAACACAAATCTTCAAGGTCATTTCTTGGGAGTCCTTTGCTACATTACCTTCACAAATCCATCGACCTATATTACGAAAATTAACGTCACATCACAAGACTGAATTTTTTGCGACGAAAAATTAAAAGAAAGGATTTGTTTGTGTATAAACTAAAAGAAAATACATTCAACTTACAGACGTAGAGCCGTTTTCACACTAATCAAAAGATTGGGAGCGTGATTGTAAATTTTCCAAGAAATAAAAAATAATAAACACATTCATAATCATGTGTGTTTGAGCTACACTATTTTGAAAAAAAATGTATTTTGGAATAGTAAATTAATGGAGAATATGTGGTTAAAAAAGAAGAAAAAGTTATTGATGTGATAAAAAATATTATTTTATTGAAAAATATATGATTAAAAATGGAGAAAATTATCTAAAACCCTTCTTTTCAAGATTACAATTTAAAAATAAGGGGATAAAGTTTACAATTCAAAAATCAGGTGGTAAATAAAATTATCAATTTAATTAATAAAAATTTAATTAAACATTTATCTGCCTAATAACCCCTACCCCGATTAATCCCAAACCCAGCCCCAACTCTTTCTCCCTCTACCCAGTCTCTCTGTCTACCTACTCTTCCTTCCCTCTCTAGTCTCTACCACCACTTTGTCCATCCCCATCTAACCCCCTAGGGCAGAGCACAACCGTAGGAGAAAGCTGATGCCCGTAGCAGTTCGAACACCAGGTCCTGATTTGATCGATTGGAAAGAGCAAATAATAGGGAGTCAGGGCCGCCTGATCGGAGGGTGGAGACAGTGGTCTCGAAAAGCTTGCCTCCGACGTTGAGCTTGATGAGGTCGCTGCCACCGGGCTGGGTGGCGAAAGTATTGTTGGGAATTTTGCCCTCCATGTACAGTTGTTACAGGGACCTTATCGCTTGGGACTAGTTCGGGATTTTGGAATTGAAAATGGAAAAAGCCGTCGCTACAAATTATGACTTGAGATTGACCTGGTCACATACAGTCACACTCCACACAAATTTGGTCACTGTTAGTCACATTGCACACAAATTTTTTTTCGATAATTTTTTAGGAGGTGGTGGTAGGTGGATC